GGTATGGGAAGAGGGAGGAGGGCTTGAACCAGGTCGGTTAGCCTCTAAGTCTCATGCTTTTTCCATCGTCCTGTAAAAGCCGGCACTAACACTGTCCTTCCTGCAGGTCCGCTGTTGCTCTATGCAGATCATGTAAATGAACTCGTGTACCCCCCTCGGATTTCTTGGATAAGGAAAGGGAGACAGATAGGTAGCATGACTTGCCCACGTCAAACAGCTGTCTGCTTTCAGAGGACACATTACCCCACGACTGGAAACAAAGGGGGCCTAGAACGTGTGGAGGACTCTTTGGGTGGGGCAAATGGTTAATTCACTATTAATGAGAAAGAATGGCTGCTCAAGTGCACGCAGAGGGGTCCTGGAAGAAAGACCTGGTGATCTACTTCCCCAAACATCAGCCACTGAAAAATCCCACTGGCTCAGCGGATTGTTAGGCTGCTATCCTGAGGATGGGCAGTTCAATCCCACCAACCGCTCTGTGGGAGAAAGATGAGGCTGTCTGCTCCCCAGAAGGTTTACAGTCCCAAAGTCTAAGGAAGCGTTGTGCTGTCCTGGGGTCCCTATGAGCTGGAATCCCCTAGAAAGCAGTGGGTTTGGTTTTGCTATGCCCAGTAGGGTTCACTTGGGAGACGGGGATCCACCGTCCTAAAGAGTAAGTAGCAGCTGCAGGGGGAGGAGTCGGGCTCCTGGCGCCTGATCCCCCCAGATTAGCTGGAGTGCTCTGGAGCCAGTTTGGGAGACTGGCCTGGCTTGGAGACTAGAACCAGAGGCCAGTCAGGAATTCAGGGCCCCAGGAGGAGCCACAAATAGCCTGGGCCTGTAGGAGTGTCCTCCCGGGATGGATGCTGGAGTGGGAGAGCAGGGAGGCGGAGGGAGGAGCTGAACAGGAGCAGAGGAAAAGGAAGCTGTCTGTCATCAGCCCAAGGATCTAACGGGGGCACTCTCCCAAATGTCAAAGGGAACGCTGTGTGCTTGTGTTCAAGCCCCACCGCCGCTCTGAGGAAGAAAGAGGAGGCTGTCTGCTCCCTGGAAGAGTTACAGCCTCAGAGCCGGGAGAGTCTTAGGGGTGCTGTGAGCAGGAACTGACTCAATGGCAGTGGGTTGTGGTGATGGGAGTTGTTGAGAAACACCCCCACCCGCCCACCACCACCACCACTTCCTCTCTTTTATCCCTTTGGCCACCCTGGAATTTGGGAGCAACAGTTCAGCCGGTGTCAAAGCCGGAACGCTGATGCCCAGAGAGAGCATGCAATTTGACTAAAATCACACGGTGAGACAAGGGCTCAGCTGGAGACACGTGAACATTGTTTTCTTTTCGTTTTCTTCCCCTCCCCTCCCAATGAAGGATTACACCTGACAACCAACGGACAGAAGCAAACCAAACGCACTGCCATCGAGTCGATGCTGACCCAGGGTGACCCAGTAGGACAGAGCAAACCTGCCCCTGTGGGTTTCCGAGACTGTCACTCTGGGTGGGGTTAGAATGCCCCATCTCCTCCAGTGGAGAGGCTGGTAGTTTCTAACTGCCAACCTTGCTGTTGGCAGCCCAGTGGGTAACCACCATGCCAGCAAGGCTCCCATCAACAGGGGGGCATCAAAAACTTCGGGAGGGGGGGAGGCGGGTGGAATGGAATGAATAGATCATGAGATTTTGCCATGAACTTTTTGAAACTCCCCGGTATAAGAACCCATTCTTCGGGAGGCATCTGTGGGTGGTGCAGTGAGCGAACTTTCACCCAGAGGTGTCTTGGAAGAAAGGCCTGGCGATCTTCTTCTGAGACTTCGGCCATTGAAGTCCCTGTGGAGCACAGCCCCGCCCTCCCTCACCTGGGGTGGCCAAGAGTCCGAGTCCACGCAACAGTAACTGGTCTGTGCTTTCCCCCTGGTCCTTAGCGAGTAAGCCTTTCAAACAGGGGGACGTGAGTTCACCAGCAGATACAGTGACCTACAAGAATCCCCGCTCCTTGCTTATCTCTTCCATAGCATGTCGCCAACATGTGGCTTATCTCTTCCACAGCTGGCCAACGTGTGACTGCAGTTGGGGCTGGGTCGCGGGAGAAGGAGGTACGTTTGATGAAGCCCTCCAAGCGTGTTCCTTTGAGGAAGCCGTGGGGAGCTCCAGAAAGAAGGCTGAACTTGCACTTGGAAGTGCTGAACTCAAGTCTTAGCCAGGTGGTCACATTTCTGAGCTGCAGGTCCCTAACCTAGAAAAAAAACAAGGTCCACCCACGGTCATCCCACAGCTGGCGAGGGGAGGTCTGCTGCAGGGCCGGTTGCTGCGCCGGACTCAGGAAGACCAGGAGGGCCTGGCAAGGAGGGACCTTAGCCATCTGGGTAGTCTGGCTGTCTGTGCCAGTGCTTGGGGCACAGTTGCCCTCCGTGAACATCGGCTCAATGAAGCAATGAGGTGATCTCTTTACCTGTACCTGTGTACCTGTGATGGGGTTACGTGAGTGAGGAACTCTCCTGACTGTTTTTCAGCTCTCCCGGCTCCCCCCCTTCCACACCCAGGCATTATCTCTAGGGCACTATTACCATCAACACCTCCCCGCCCCTAAGCCCCAGCACCTTATATGGCCTGGGGGAAATGCCTGAGAATAAATCCCTGGTCAGAAGGCTTTGTCATGGGTCTAATGGATGTTGTTGTTGTTCACTGCCCTCCAACTCCTGGCAAACCTGTGCATGATGAAATGAAACAAAACGCTAAGGAGTTCTAGGCCATACCCAGGACTGGTTGGGAATCAGACCATTGTGATTCACCGGGTTTGGCATTGGTGAATGTTGGGATGAAACCACCAGGCCTTTCTTCCTAGTTTCTCTTAATTGGGAAACACCCGCTGAAACCTATTCAACACCATAGCAGCCTGCAAGCCTCCACGACAGAGGTGGCTGCACGCGAGGTGCATTGGCTGGGAATTCAACCTGCTCTCCTGCGTGGACGGCACAAATTCACCTGCGGAACCACCCCCGCCTCGTGGCCAATCACAGTGGCCATATCATTGATTGTCAGCACCAGAAGCGAGCCAAAGCAAAACAAAACACCAAACTCATTGTCATTGAGTCGATGTCAGCTCACAGCGACCCTACAAGACAGCATAGAGCTGCCCCCTGCGAGTTTCTGAGACGGTAACTCTTTACTGAAGTAGAAAGCATCCTCCTCCTCCCACAGAGCACCTGGTGGTTTCGAACTGCTGACCTTGGGGTTGGCAGCCCAACCCTCTGCGACCAAGTCGATTCTGGCTCATAGTGACAGTATGGAACAGAGTAGACGTACTCCCCACGGTTTCTGAGGCAGTAAACCTTGAAGAAAGCAGACTGCCTCCCCTTTCTCCCATGGCGTAGCTGAAGGAGTCAAACCCCTGACTCATGGTCCAGTGTGTAACTGGCGGCACCACCAGGACACCCAGATGTGGGAACCCCAAATACTCTAACCCATTCTGACTCTGATTTGTCTAATCAAATCTTGCAAAGGCGTCCTTTCTCATCTCCACAACCCAACCCTGTTCAGAGCCATTCTCAGGCCCTGTCCCCAGCATCCCGATTCTCATTGTCAGTCAGGAGGTGGCCCAGACCCCTCCTCTCTATCCTCTCAGAATGACCTAGTGCGTGCACACTGCTCCCAACACAAACACATGTGGCCCCTGCCTAAACCTACCAGGTGACCTGCAAACCACCACCCCCTACCCCACCCCAGTCATCTTCGGAGGCCACTCCAGCTCTGGGAGGTTTCTAGGCCCCCCGCCCCGGGCACCTCACCAATTGCAATGGGCTCTTATCTGGTCCCTCTGGTGTCTACTCTTCCCCGTCATCTTTATTCTCAGCCCTGCAGCCCAGGGAGTGCTGTAAGTTATCCAGATCTAAATCTCAGATCGTGGGTCACTACTGTTACAAACAGTGCCTTCCCATGGCCCTCGGTGAAAAAGGCAGGGTTCTGATAAAGACCTACAGAGTCCCAGCCTACTGCACCACCAGTGGCTACTGAATGGACCCCGGCCCGTGCAGTCTCATCCAAGTGTGTCAGAGTAGAACGTGACTCCCTACGGCTCCCCATGGTTGGCTTTTCAGAAGGGGATCGCTCCCGCCACAACATGTGAATACATGCGTCCTTTCCTGGTGCTGCTGAGAGCACCAAATCCACTCACCCAGGCCCATCTCAAACACTCTAAGCTTAGTGGTGCCGTGGGCTACATACTGAGCTGCTAACCACCAGGTCAGCAGTTCAAACCTACCAGCCAATCCATAGGGGATAGATAAAGCTTTGTACTCCTGTAAAGAGTTACCATCTCGGGAACCCCCAAGGGGCATTTTTGCCCTGCCCTGAAGAGTTGCTGTAAGTCGAATCAGCTTGATGACAGTGAGCTTGGTTTTGGTTTGACACTTAGTAGTTAATGGCAACTGTGATTGCTACTTGAGGTTCCTAGGGTGGGGAGGGGGTGTGTTCCACAGTGCACCAGGTCCCTAACCTGCAAGTCCACATCCCCCTCTGAGCTACAACTCAGATGGGCCTCTGTCCAGATGGGCCCTCCTTTCCTGAGTCCCAGCACCCCAGTGCACCTGGCCCGGGTTTCTTTGCAAACACGTCCTCTAGCACGTTCCATCTTGCTGAAGCTACTCAGAGCTTTTCTGCTAAAATCTCAGGAGCCCTGCCCAGGAGTCCCTTCGACAAGCCCGCCTCAGTGACCTTGGGAAAGCTGGGTGGGACGCCCCAGGGTGGGATATAAAGTAAGGATGGAGGGAGAGGGGGAGACTGTGAATGCACGTGGAGTGTGCAAGGGTAGGGCTTGGAGGAGCAGAGTAAGCCAAGCCATTCCCACCTGCCAGCTTCCTGTCTTTGCCTGCAGATAAATAGGGGACACCAGTGGCCACATTTTCCATTCCCCCAAGCCCAGCACCCGCCGTCATCACTCGATTTAAAAAAAGAGAGAGGGAGGGAGGGAGCGGGCCTGGGGGAGGGGCAGGAGGCCTCCGGTTATAAAGCCTGTGGCCGAAGCTGGTGGCAGCAGTAAGCTGGGCCTCCTCTCATCATCCCCAGCCAGGCAGAGCTGCTGACAGCTGCTGGAGTCCCTGTGCCAGGCCCTGTTCTCTGCAAGTCCCCAGCCTCAGCCCCTCCATGGCCCAGAAGGAAGCCGCTGTCCCGGAGGCCGCTGAAGCCCCAGCGCCCGCCTCCCAGAATGGGGAGGACCTGGAACACTTGGAAGAGGACCCTGAGAAGCTGAAGGAGCTGATTGAGTTGCCCCCCTTTGAGATCGTCACAGGGTAAGACTGGGTGTGGGCCCAGCCCTCCTCCCTGGGACAGTGTTCACTGCCTGGGGGCAGGTGGCCCACACTGAGGGTGGGGATGGCAGGGGTCCGCTGTGTGCCCAGCAGGGGCAGCACCGCATTTCCTGGGCTTCTCCAGGTGAAAGGTGGAGCCTGCTAGCTAGTGGCAAAGCCCAAGCCCGCTGCCTGCCGCCAAGGGGAACCCGGTTCTTAGAGTTTCTGAGCATGTCCATCTCCAGGGGTGCAGACAGCCTCTACTTTCAACTCTCAGCTCCGGGAGAGGAAGACAGACCTGGCAGTGAGTGGCCCAGCACCTAACCCGCAGGGCGGCCAGGGCCCCTTCCAGGGAGGCAAGGGCCCAGAGAATAAAGCCACACCCCTCAGACCCCCCGCGTCTCAGGGGAGGGGTGGCGTCGCCCTAGGGAGCGCAGCGAGCGGATGTCAGATGAGGCTGGCACATGTAAACATGTGTCTCTCTACTCCCCAGTGCACTCCGGACAGGCCTCTCTGCTGGTCTGTGTCCAGCTCCTCCTAGGTCCTGGGTCAGGGGGCAGTAGATCCATCCTCCCCATGGCTGAGCGGCCAGCAAAGCCTTTTGTTTTCCTGTTACATCTTTTCTGAGTCTCCTTGGTGGTGGGCCACAGTCACCCTAGGGAGACAGCACTCAGGGCCCAGCACCCAGAGGCAACACAGCAGATGGACGGAGGACTCCAGCCACAGGGATGGAGGGAGGGAGGGGCGGGGTCCACTCTGCCTGAGGCAGAGTGTGCTGTTCTCAAAGACAAAACCCAGCCTACCTCCACTGCCCTCTAACATCCCTGCAGTGCGGGGTCCCGCTGGATTCCTGAGCAAGGGTACACAGCACCCTGTGTCCTGGGGTCTGCTCCCATAGCAGGGGTGTCTCTGGCAGGGCCTGTGATGGCTTTGGGTGGGCACATCTGAGGGGTCACAGCAGGCGTGAGGGCCTGGTGCTATGGAGGTACAGAAGGAGCCCTGATTGGGGTTGGGGGTGGAGTGTCAGGGAAGGGGGTCATTCCGACTTGCAGTTTTCCGTTTGGCAAGCGCTGTGTATTTGTTTGTTCATCCTGACCTCTGTGTTTCCATTTGTAATGGAAAAGTTGTATGTACCTGGTTCATAAGGCCTCTTCCAGCTTAGCACATGGTTGATTTCAAAAAGAACGGGTGGGAAATGCGTCCCAGGTCCCGAGGACTGAGAAATCCCCAAGCTTCCGTTTATCCATGCCCACAAGCCTTGTCTCACCCCCACCTCCACCCCACGCCCCTTACCCTTACTCCATGCCACACACCGAATAATAGAGACATCATCAGGAAAGCCTAGAGCATCCAGGCCAAGAGAGTCCCTCAATTCCAATGCTAGGAGACCCTTTTTCTAACACATAAAGCATGCTGATCTGTGTTGACCCTAGTCTGTCTGTCTGTCTCTCTCACCCACACAGACACACAGACACAGACACACCCACACCGTGTCCACTCTGTGCAGTGTCGTGATCTCTCAAGCACCGGGAAAAAGCAGGTCAAGGAGAGAAGGAATCCGCATTGGTGGTGCTGAACGTGTTTTCAGGGTCTCTGGGTGGTGGGTCCTGAAGGCGGTGTCCTCTGATGTTGGATTAGTCTGAGGACATAAATCACAGCATAATTCCCTGGCGTGGGCTCATTCCGTTCTCAGCACCACTGTAGCACATGGAGACAGACGATTGCCCATTGGGCTAAGAGGTTCAGCATTGGGCCCCTAACAAAGAGGTGGTCCGTGGTTCAAACCCACCAGCTGCTCTGTGGAGAACAAGGTGGCAGTCAGTCTCATGAAAGTTGACCGTCTTGGAGACTCCAGGGGGCAGTTCTACTCTGTCCTATAGGGCAGCTATGACCAGGAGTCGACTTATTGGCCATGGGTTTGGTTTGCTGGTTTACAGAAGGGGCCAGCTCTCTGCCAAAGGCAGCTTTCACCCTCATCTTGTTGGTTGTGGGTTCCAGGTCTCTTCATCTACGAGGGAGAGAGGGCGGCCAGGGGCTCCGGCGAAGAAGCCCAGCAGGGCAGGCAGTTGGAGGAGGCTCTAGGAGCAGTCAGGTGGGGGGCAGAGACCGAAGCATGGCCTGGCCATAAGCAACAGCTTTGGAGCTCTGTGTCCTGGGCCCCTCCTGGTAAATAGATGGCCTAAAAATAGCGCAGAGGTGCGGCTGTGTCTGTGCAGAAAGTGGCAAAGGGACAGCTTTAGACTCAAAGAGGTCAGCGCGGCAGTTGCTCTCCCAGTCAGTCCCAGGGGGACTGAAAATGAATGATGCTACCAGCTGCCAGGCTCACTGCCGTCAAATGGATTCCAGCTCACAGAGAGTTTATAGAACATGGTAGAACTGCCCCTGTGTGTTTCCGAGACTGCAGCTCTCATTCTCCCGAGGAGAGACTGGTGATTTCAAACTAATGACCTTGCGGTTCCCAGCCCAACTCGTAATCCACTGTGTTACCAGGCTGCCCCGACTCCTTCTGGCTCCGTGTCTGTCAGAGGAGAACTGTGCTCCAGGAGGGTCCAGTGGCTGAGTTTTTCAAAGGCGGACCACCGGGCCTTTCTTCTGAGGGCCTCCGCACAGACTCGAAGCTCTAACTTCTTGCTTAGCAACCAAACCTGTTCATTGTTCGCACCGCCCACCCAGGGGCTCCAAACTAGCAGAGAGTAGGCGGCTTAGTCTCTGAAAACATTCTGAATGGAAAAGGGAGGGCTTGGTAGGAATAAGGGGCCAGGAGCCCTGCTTTTAATGATTCGGGATTGAATAAGGCACTTAGGCTAGAAAACAGATCTAAGGACATTAGCAAAACAACAGGGGGAAAGTGCTGGTAACAAAAGGTCTCTAAAATTGTAGAGGTGTGCTGAGCCATTGTGCTCTGCACTTCCCAGCTGTGTTCAATGATCCTTTGAAATCGGCACCAGTGGGAGTATTTACACTACGGAAAGGGACAAACGCTAGGAAGCAGGACTCGTTGGCGGCCCCCTCCCAGAAAGCGTGGTGTGACACATTTACCAGCAGGCCACTGAAAGGGAAACCTCTGGAGTGAGGGGCGGAATCAATATGGAATCCGGTTTGGTCATTGTTATCGGAAAGATAGAGGGGGTGGGGGCGCGGGGCGAGAGGAAGCGCCATCCCACAATGCTGCGATGGCTCCTTGAGTAGCCACTGCTGTTGGTAGTACTTTTGTGTCAGTTCCCCTCATTGTGACCCTGTGAGCAACAGAATGAAGCCAGGCCTGGCCGGTCCTCCCCCAGACTCAACCTCGTTCCCATGCCCTAGCCCCTGGTGACAGCCACTGTGTCAATCCATCACACTGAGTGCCTACCATTGTCCAAATCCCGCAGGACTGCAGTCCTAACCCTAGCCTTCGGAGAAAGAAAATAAACCTTAGAGAGGTGAGCAGCTGGCCTGAAACTCGGTGATGGGGAAGGGGTATGAACGCTAGGCATATCACAAAACTAAAACCAGCCAACCCCAAAACATCAAAAAGGTTCTGTTTCCAAAAGACATCTTCTTCTCTGAGCAGTTCCAGGTGTCCAGCAATACTGTACAAGTCCAGCCACGTTCCCCTATCCCCTCCCTGCGCACCGTGCCTAGGATTAACGTCTTGCATCTGTGTGATGCGTGCATTCCAATTGATGGGCCAATATTGATCAATATTATGAACTGAAGCCTGGGGTTAACACCAGGGTTCACGCTTCACGTGGTTCGGCCCTGTGGGTGTTGACCATCAGGCAACGTCCTGGGGGCACTACCGGACCTGTGCCCAGTGCTAAGTTGCTCCCAAGTTGGCTCTGAGTTGCAGTGACCTTCTGCATGCGGAATGGAGCATGGGTGACCAGGCCCTGCATCATCTTCCTGGATGTTGCTGCGTTTGAGTCCCTTGGGAATACAAGACCACAGAGTGACTGGGCGTCCCAGTCCCTTGGGAATACAAGACCAAAGAGTGACTGGGTGTCCCAGCCTGCTTCCAAGGCTCCTGTCAAGATGGGGCCACTCAGGGCAAGGGAACAGCTCCGGTCTTGCTTTGGGCAGACTTTGATCGAGTGTAGATAAGGTGCACCCAGCTCACTGGCGCCCTTCTCAGCTCCTATAAGCGCAGGCTCCTGGAACCCACTGCGTCTCCTCCTCCACTCCTCGGCCTAGGCCCACCTCTTAGCATCCACTGCCTGAGTGGTCCTCAGAAACAGAAAGAAGGACATTGAAACCGGCCAGGCTGCCTCTTGGAGCACGCTGCTGGAAGGTCTGGGAGGGAAAGCTGAAAACCAGTCCACACTCAATTACCTGGGAGTGGATTTTCCACTTCACGGATTATTTTGGTGCAAATATTTAATCTCAGACTGCCTCTCTGCCCTCCAGGTTCACCGGATAGATTTATGCTTAGGAAACGCGAATGAATGCCTTTTAAGGGGAACCGGAGGAAAATATATCCTAGTAAATGTAATCACATCCCTTTTCTCTCCACCAAGCAGAGCATCATCCCAATCCCCCCCCCGCCCCCACCTCGATATCAGGCGTCTCAGCATTGCAGACCCAGTAGGTTGGGCGGAAGCATGAAACAGGAATGGCCTTGTTCAGAAAGGGGGAGGAAGCCTGGTTTAGAAAGGTGCTCTCTGAGGCTGGGGGAGAAGTGGGAATTAGGCTGATTTCTGTTTATAAAGACGTGGATGAGCCGGGGGTGATTAGCTTGAAGGAATGAACAACCAGCCTTTATCTCTCTCCTGCCACTCTGGTGGAACACACACACACACACACACACACACACACACACATCTTCCACTTCACCCATACGAAATCTAATGCTAGCATCTCCAGCTACTCCACTTCAACACACACACACACACACACACACACACACCCACACACGCACCACTTCAGCCATAAGAAATCTACCAGCATCTCTCTCCTGCTATTCCACCCAGACACACACAGACACACACAAGCCATGGGAACAGTACTTGCTAGGGATGGGAAGGAAGGGATGTATGTCTTACGTATATGATACTTAGGTTTATCCATATGCTCACATGACTACAAGAGGAAAAGATGTTGTGATTATCCAAGAAATTAAAAATACTCAAACTCACTGTCGTCCAGTGGACACATAAGGACCCGATAGAACAGGCTAGGTCCACCCCTGTGGGTCTCCAAGACTGTAACGCTTTATAGAAGTGGAAAGCCTCATCTTTCTCCCTTGGGGCAGCTGGTAGTTTCGAACTGCTCACCTGATAGCAGCCCAACTACAAATTCATTGGTTAGCAGATCCACTACAAATTCCTACCAGGCGTCCTGCATCCAAGGAATTAGGCGTCACTATGTCTTTCCTCCTGTGAGTGGGCAACGCAGTGTGGGCTTATTTTGTGCTTCTATGAAACCACCTGAGGGGACCGTGTTGTCTGACTTCCCTGGAGAAACGTCGGACATCCGGGTCCCCCTCTGGGCCTGCCTGTTTTGGTCTATGGCAGCCCTAAAGAACCTTGGTCATCCTTTCTGCTCTTTCAGACGCAGCAGCACAGCGAGAAGGCCTTCCCGAGCAAGCCCAAAGGCGGGACAAGGCACGAAAACTTTCCCCGCCATTCCTTGGCACCTTGAAAGCGTTTCTGTTCCTGAAGCACTTAGTCCAGTGCTGAGTGGCAGAATAGACCATCCGGCTGCTGGCCAGAGGGGTAGGCAACGGGATATTTATAGAGAGGTGACCTTTCTCCCTCTCCTTGGGGTTTCAGGTTTCTCTGGACCCCCTCCTCTGGCCTAGGGAAGAGGAGGGGGCAGGGGAGAAATGTCTGAGTGGCTGAGAGAAGTAGCAGCAACTTGGAAATGCATGCTGGGCCACACACAGTTGGCAAAGTTGGAGCGGTGCTTGGGGGTGGGGTGGGGGGAGTGGGGTTCCCAGAAGGAAACCTGAGGGGCCACCCAGGCACCAGCAACTCATGTATTGCTGGAGCTCTCTAGCCAACCAACCCAGTGGCCATGAATATTTCCCAAGGTTCCACCTGAGTATCTATCGTACCTGATGGCTCTGGATTGGACTTGGAGGGGAAGGTGGTCTGGCAGGACCTGAAGGGCAAAGAAGGGTAGCCCTGTGCTTCTTGGGAGCGTTGTCCCACTCATTTTCCCCATGCCTCTCCAGGAAGAGAAGGAAGTGGGAATGATCTGGTGGGGTGGGTGTCATCGGGTAGTGCTCAGTGTTATGCAAATGCCTAGCAAGGTTCACAAGCGAAGGGGACAGACTGTCAGCTCCCCATTCTCCTACAATGGCAAATAAACACACCCACACCCAGTCCACATCAGGGACAGGGACTTAGAGCGCTAAGAATAGAGCCCAAAGGAATCCTGGGGCTGGGTCTTCCAACAAGTCCCTCTCCTGAGTGGAAACATGACAGCAGGGGACATGGAAACTTGGGTGGAGGAGGAGATGGGGAGGGGCGGTGCCCTGCAGAGACAGAACTCAAGTTTACTCAGCTCTTGGGCACCCACTGTTCATCTCTAATGAGCCAAGGGCCGGGGACATCAGGGATCCCCCTGCAGGCCAAGTGTTTGCGTGACCTCTCTGGGGACAGGGCAGGAGTGGAGAGCGGGGACAGCAGTTCCTGACACCATAGTAGATGTTCAGGGGCAGTCAGGGAGATCACGTGTCTGCAAAAGAAACCCTGCTACTTCTCTAGCTCATCTTCTTCCTCTCCCTTCCTGGCCTCTCCAGTCTCTCATGCCCATGAAAATCATGGCTACATCCTCCCCTGGGGGCCCTCGGTAGTCTCTCTTCTTCTTAGCCCCCACTGGATGCTGAGAACTCAGGAGTGAAAGTCTCAGGAGAGCTGGGGTGCAGCCCCCCTCCCTGACCCCCGCCTGTCAGTGTGCTGCTGTGATCCTGCACAGGTTTCAGCGAGCTTCCAGACTCTAGGAAGCAAGGAAGAAGGACTTGGGTGATCTGCTTCTGGTGATCAGCCGATGGAAACCCCAGGGAACACAGCAGTGCCCGCCCCTACTGATGGTGGGGGTGGCACGGACCCGGGCAGCATTTTGTTTGGTCGTGCAGAGGCGGACTTAAAGGCAGCTAGCGGCAACTATTTGCACCAAACTTTAAAAAAAACACAACCTGACCCTTTTCTGTTGCTTCCGGTTCCTGATCTCCCAGCTTCTCCTTGAAGCCAGTGGATGCTGGGTTCCCAAAGATACCTCAAAACCAAACTGACATCCAGTTGCATCGGAGTGTCGGGGGTACTGACGTGAGCAAAAGAAACTCCATATTGAAAGGAGCTGAAGGATCAATGTAAAGTGTAGTCGCGTTGTTTGTACAAGCAAACAAGCTCCAGATGCCCACTGGTGAAACTTCCCCCAACTACCAGACGGCGCCATCACGGTAACAGTGACGTAAGCAAAGTTGTTTACCTTAAGGTATAAAAACCCTGCTGGTGGCAGGCAAGCTTCAGAGCCTCTTGGATACAGAGAGGACACCACACTACTCTGAGCTCTCCGGCGGTAAGGTAAGCCACCTATGATGTATAGCACCTAATGGGTGACACTATATGCTTAAAATCATATTAGCGGATATTGGTTATGTTGGGCTGCTAACCTCAAGGTCAGCAGTTTGAAACTACCAACTGCTCCGAGGGGAAAAGGTGAGGCTTTCTACTACATCAAGAGTTACAGTCTGAGGGGCAGTTCTCCTTTGTCCTGTAGGGTGGCTATGAGTCGGAAGGGCACCTAGAGGACTTTAGGCTTTCCCCCAGCTCGATCCCCCTTCCTCTCGCGGACACACCTGTATTCCTTGGACGGCGCTCTCAGGGGCCCTTTCTTCTACTCAAGAACCTGCCAAATAATGGTCTCAGCTCTACCAATTTGTTTTTGGCAATCCTTCTAATGCTCTCAGCTATTTTATTTACCTCCGCTCTGTCCCACTACGTAGCGACTAGATTATACGCATCCGAAGGGGAGAGGTCCAGTCTTTTATGAAGTGACTCAGTGTTACACACAAGCTAAGTGCTGGCCCCACCCATCATGTGCCCCACTGGTGGGGCAGTGGATTAAACCTTGGCTGCTTGCTGGCTGAAAGATGGCCTTAGAGAACTCACCAGCAGTCCCAAGAGTGGGCCATGTGGCCATCTGATTCCATGAGGGCTTTCGGGCTCAGAAACCCCAGGGAGCGGTCCTACTCTGTCCCGTAGAACCGCTAGGAGACCGAGGGGGCTTGGTTTTTGTGTTTCCCTGCTTGTTTCGTTTCCTAAGGGCAACAGGGTGCTACACACCGTAGACCATCCCTTGCTCAGGAACCAATTGACCTTCATGACAAAGGGGGTGGGGGTGGGGAATGCTGGCATGAAACGCTCGGCAAAGTCTGAGTGGTTCCGGCAGGAGGCATTGGCCATGCGTGCAACTTGGTCGAGTTGCCCTTCGAAAGCAGCCTCTCAAACCTGGCCGCCGATGGGAAACGTCCGCGGAGCTTCGGAAGATGCTGACGCCTCAGCCCTTCCTTTCCAGACACTCCCATCTGAGTGGTCTGGGGAAATGGGCCAGGCCCCAGAGGCCCGTCCCCACCACCCCCGTTTCAGCCCGCCGGGCTGGATTAAAGAGGCACTGGCTTCCAGGAGGGCCCCTCCTAGTTGGACGACCCTTCCTCTCCTCCAGATAAACCCTCTTGGCCGCTCTCACGTCTTTCTGTCCCTGACACGTTGTGTCGTGTCGGCGAGGCCTGGTTCCGTCTTAGGGTGACTGCGTGAGATCTAAGGCACTGACCTTGGGTCTCAGAGCTATCCACCCCAGGCCGACACCAGGGCCAAGGGCTCATCGTTCCGTGTCCCCTCTCCCCTGTCCTCTTCCCCTGCAGAGAACGGCTGCCTGTCCACTACTTTAAGTTCCAGTTCCGGAACGTGGAGTACAGTTCTGGGCGGAACAAGACCTTCCTCTGCTACGTGGTAGAGATGCAGGGCAAGGGGGGTCAAGTGCAGGCGTCGCGGGGTTACCTGGAGGACGAGCATGCCACCAACCACGCCGAGGAGGCCTTCTTCAACACCATCCTGCCCACCTGCGACCCGGCCCTGCGCTACAACGTCACCTGGTACGTGTCGTCCAGCCCCTGCGCGGCTTGCGCTGACCGCATCGTCAAAACCCTGGGCAAGACCAAGAACCTGCGCCTGCTCATCCTGGTGGGGCGGCTCTTCATGTGGGAGGAGCCCGAGGTCCAGGCCGCTCTGAAGAAGCTGAAGGAGGCCGGCTGCAAGCTGCGCATCATGAAGCCCCAGGACTTCGAGTACGTCTGGCAGAATTTTGTGGAGCAAGAAGAGGGCGACTCCAAGGCCTTCGAGCCCTGGGAGGACATTCAGGAGAACTTCCTCTACTACGAGCAGAAGCTGGCGGACATCCTGCAGTAGGCCCCTGGGCCCGGCCTCACGTGAGTTCCTCTGGGGCCAGGGTCGGGCCACTTGATGAGGCGTGGACAGGGAGGGTGGACGGTGGCACGATGCTTTACCTCTCCTGTGGATTTCATGGAGTTCCTTGGCAGTTGTTGGCTGCAAAAACATTTTACAAGCCCGCCTCGCGTGTCTCTCCTCTGAACACCTCGCCCTAAGCCTTAGAGGGCCTCCGACCCTTCCCCCCAGAGCTGGGGGCAGTCCAGGGACAGGGACCTCCAGCTTTGGAGAGCTGACATAATTGTCTCTTGTGAGAAGCCTGCGGGGTGTGGTCAATTCCAACTCACAGCGACCCTACAGGACAGGGTAGAACTGCCCCACTGGGCTTCTCCTGGCTGTGCATTGGTCTGTGAGCTGCAGGGTCGGCGGTTGGAGGCCAGCAGCAGCTCCTCGGGAGGCAGACTGGGCTTTCTACTCCTATAGGCAGCCAGTCTCAGAGCCCCACAGGGGCTCGCTGTCAGTCAGCAGTGCCTCAATGGCAGGGAGCGAGTCTCCACCGAGGCCGACTGCCGCATCTTTCTCCTGCGGCACAACTGGTGGGGCTGGGCTGCTAACCTTCTGGTTCCTCCATGAGTATTTAACCACAGCCTCACCAGGCTCCCTGGAGTAGGCCGAGAGCATTACTGAATAACAAGAGCAGCTGTTTAAAGGCCCTACACATGCCGTGTGTATGTGCAGACGTAGTGACACTGTATACTTTCCATGTCCCCGACTCTCCCTCCACCCCCCAGGTGCAGTCTGACCGGTGCATTTTTTGTCGGATGCAGATTTGTCATTCCTTCAGAACCCGTTTCATCCCTGGTCCTTGTGCAGTTCCCCCAATGGATCTGTCCTCAAGAGCCACTTTCAGGTTTTTAAACCCACGATGGCGCATTGAGAGACCAATATGATTGCTGTGTGGATATATCTCATTCAAGAATTTTCTCCTCATGTTTTGAACATCTGAGCAGAACAGGGGGCTGGGCATAACTCAGCAGTGTATTCTAACTCTGTGCTGCATCAGCAAGGGGTTAAAACGATGATTGTAAATTAGGCAGCAGCTCAGAAGTAGCCTCCTATGGATATCAAGAGGTGATAGAACTGGAAGTAAAGATTAGCTATTTAAGCAAATAATTAGGACACAATTAAGGCCAATTTGGCCTCTTGCTGAGGGGAAATTAGACTCTCAGAGAAACGGGCCAGTTAGCCTCAGGAAAGGGTGGGATGGAGGCTCCTTGACAGGCTTTTTTAGGAGTTGGTCTGCTCTAGTTTGTACATCCAGAGTGCTATGACTAAGGCCCTCTGTCAGGCCAAGTAACTGATCAAACTCCCCCGTACCACCACCCTTAGAACCCAACTGCAATCTTCAAACAACCCACCCAAGAAAGCAAGGAAGTAACGTGCTTTCGTGAGGCAATGCCACTTCTTTCGGGCATCTCTCTCCCAATAACCCGCAGAAGCGGCTGTTGGCTCAGCGGTCCCCTGCTCCCAGCAGACTCCATCCTGAGTAACGCTGAGTAGCAGCGTGAAAATTTCTGAGGGTGACCTCTGCAAATAGGAAGCGTTCCAAGCCCCCTGGAAGGTTGCTAGGACAGGGGCCATCGCTGTTATCAACAAATCCTACAGATTCCATGGAGAGTCCTGGCGGAGCACTGCTTGACTTCAAACCAGGCCGGAAGGCTTGAAGACAGCAGCGAGTGGTGGGCCGGCAGGAGACCTTCTTGGACTTCAGTCTGGGCCATCTCTTCCAGCTGTTTGACTAGCAGGCCCTCCGGGATTTTATTTTTTCCTTTTACCATTAACCCAAATAATCAGGAAGCCAACGCTGCTCTAAAAACAAGGAGATTAAAAATATCTTTTCATTTTGGATAATTGAGAGTCTTATCTATCTTCGACAAATCTAAACAGAGAAAAAAAAACAACTGGGGTGGGGAAACAAATCTGAGGGGAAATTCCATTTTTAAATCAAATTAATTTTTAAATGATTACTGTAGTACCCAAGCCCATTAGCATGCTTCTGTCCTGTGTTTGAGTTGGTCAGGTTCCTAAAGGTTCAAATGTACCACAATTAAAAGAAAGAAAAAAAAGCAAGTAATCCCTGGGTATGGTGTGGTCACAGCCCCCAAAGAGATGGCTCAGCTTAGTGAAAAGTCTCAAGCAGTGAGCTTGTGTTAAAACCTGTCTCGTCCTTCCCATTCATTAAGGGAATGAGAATCGGATTTGTGAAGGCAGAGCTCATCTGTGACCTTCGCTCTGTGACAGAAATGTGAATGAAAGGAACAGATCCCATCCTGGGGTCACCAGAAATCATGGGAGACCACTGAGCAGGAACTCAAGGCCTTGTTGGGACACCTAGATTTAAATTTTTGTCGCTCTAGTTTGGGGTCAGCAGGGCGCCGGCTAACATGCTGTTTTCTCATGAAGGTCTGCCTGCTGCCGAGACAGTAGTGACATGCATGGCCATCTGGAACAACTGTGTCTTCCTAATGCCACTTGGAGCCAGACAGCATCCAACACCAACCGAGCCGCCTGGACAGGGCCTTGAGGACTGCGATGCACGCCTCTCATCGTGGGATGCACGCCGGCTGTGCTTGCTCTCAGGATAGCGCAAAGTGAGCAGCCTGGAGACAGACGCAACCACCTGTGGGCAGCAGGCACCATGGGGCCGATGCTCCTCACTGACTGTGAAACGCAAAGCCGCAGTCACACCCAAGGTGCAGGTCTTTGAAATACACCCAGAAATGCATTTATGCTGTTGTTTTCAAAAACAGCAGAATCAATAAAAGAACTGAAGTGGTGTGTGGTCTTTAGCCAAGCCTTTTTATTTGAAGGAATGTGGATGGTTGGCCGGTACCATCACCAAACTGAAACATTACAAAGTGGTTTAGCAACGACTACACCAATCGGGCCTTGTTCTCGGCCCCAGGACACCAACTCTCCCACGTAGACTTCCCACCTGGGTCTTGACCTTCATGCCAAACAGATGACTTGTAAATGAGGGCCTTTTCCCTTTTAGGAAAAGGTGAACCGGGATGTTGTCTGCTGCTAGGTGCTGTCGACTCAAGTGGACCCTATGGGAGAGGATAAAGAAAAAACAGGCGAGGGCAATCCCTACCTCCCGATTCCTGATCAGTAACTCATTCACTGAGGAAGTAGAGGAGGGCGAGCCATGGGGAGATAACAGTGTTCGGATACAGATCGTGAAAAGCACGTCATGTGTGGTATTGAAGACTGGGATGGCTGGGGGAAGTAAAAATTCTCACTTCTCAATGTCTCCTCAGTAGCAGCATATATCTTCACATGTGGATTTCTGGATGCCTGCCAAACTCTAACAAGGTTTCCAGGAACAATGTGCTCATTCTATCAGCCTGGGCTTCCAGTCTGATAACCCACTGGAATTTGACCGGGAGACTAGCTGCAAGTGACAAGGCAAATGATCAGAATTCCGATTACCTCCCATCCTGGATATGTTCTCTTAAGAGAATCGTCTAGGCTCACATTCCAGAGCATAAAGTTAACCCTGAGTTTTAGCCCAGGTGGTTGCATACTTTTTCGTTTCCTCTCACAACCCCACCATCACTTTCAAACTTGTGTATGCCTCTCCCCCTTTTTGCCTCTCTTGGAGTTGACTGCATGTACCTGGACAGATGCAAAGCTTCCAGGAGTCTCCAAGTTTGCCCCTATACTGCCGCTCAGAACTCATCGGAGACCATCAGTAACAGGTCTGGCTGCTTTAACTCCCAGCGCCACAGCCAAGAGGAAATAACACTTGTTTTCCCAATAGCTCCGACACACAACGGCTGTGGAAAACCTAGTCTTCCCTCACCAGGAAACCGGGAGTGCACCTGGCACGGCTCCCTCCAGCCGAGGAGAGAAGGGGCAAGGGCAAGGACAAGGGGCTCGCCTCCCAGCCCTGGCCTCCAGTCTCCTCTGCACTAGCCCACCCTGGTTTGGGGGGAATGGAGGGGCTAGGCCCCAGTGTGTCTGTCTGAAGGCACGCTGTTGCTAACCCCTGACTGTGTGAGCAGCACTGGGCCAGGCATATCACACCTGATTCCACTAGTCTCAGGATGGCATTCACACGCATGTGGTCACAGAGCCGGCTCTGGGCACAATTCCTGACTCACAATTCCTGCCCAGGCCTAAGTATGCTGCTGGGCCTTCCCCCAGGATCCTGATTTTTGAAATGAAGTTACAGGCGAACATCACACCCTAGCCCAGACCAACAAAAACCATTCTTGTTACTACAAATTGCTTGTCAACAAGGTAGAACTCCATTTTGTAATGAAAACAAAAGCAAAATCACCCAACACAATAAAATGACCCCAAAAAAGGGACCCGTAATTCACTTCCTGGGGTCAATTTGAAGACTTGTGGATAGTAACGCATGTGCACAGACAAAAGATTGAAATGTTTTCATCCTCCCTGAAATTTCTCTTGAAAAAGCAGAGAATTAGAATCAATGCTGCCACCTAGTGGCCAATTGAACCAAGTAGCACACTGGAGCAAGTGGGGCCAGAGGCCCAACATCTGTCTCCTCCTTAGCCACCAACTCCCTCCTCCCTAAAAAAACCCAACCAAGGAATCCCCAAGCCCCTCCACCAGGCACAGTCTAGTCACGAGCCCAAGAGAAACACTACTTCACAGGATGCTTTCCTCTGCCCGTTTCAGGGCCGGTCTGTGCAGCCTTCGGGCCGGCAGGGGACACAGAAGTCGGACATTCCAGGATGCGCCTGTTCAGAGTGTGTACACGGTGATCTGGATGTCTGTTGCCTCAAACACCTCCTCCAGCATTGTGGACACATTCTCCCACTGCAGACCATCGAGACCACACCCAATCCTGGAAAAACAAAACCAGATGCACCATCTCCACAGGGAGTAGGGGAGCCTCTAGGGAATTGTTCCTTCTCTTTTCAGGGTCTCTCCACACACAGCCTACGCTTTCTGGTCTTGTACCACAGGCAGCCAACGGGAGGGGTTAAAAGGCAATTCTGAGTCCTCCAGGCTGTTCGTAGACAGCCCTGGGGTCCCACCGTCACCACTTTGTCTAATAAGACACACATCCCAATTATTTTAACCCTGCTGGTAGTGGATGGTCCGTGGGCTGCTAATTGCAGACCAGCAGTTTGAAACCACCTTGTCAGAGAAAGCTCCTTGTAAAAAGCTAGTGTCTCGGAAACCCACGGGGACAGTTCTACTCTGTCCTACAGGGTGGTTATGTGTTGGCATGGACTAGATAGCAGTGGGGGAGGTTCCCAATGATTTCAGGCTCCACCTGGACACGTACAGTGCTGCCTTGACCTAGCCGACTCGCCATCCCTCTGTGCCTACTGATGGACAGGAGTCAGTCGTGTGTGGGAGGGCCCTCTTAGAAGTGTACATAGGCTGGAGGCACGTTCAGGTAGATACACAGAAGAGAACAAGGGATGGTATCTCCGCGAGAAGGAAGTCACAGAGGATTGTGGGGAACTGTCAAGCTCGTCGCTGTCCAGGCAATCAGGTGCTGGCAATGGCCTAGGGAGAGGCCTCTGGCAGTTCATAAAACTCTAACCACCTGGTACTTACCTTTCTTCTAATAGGTTACTTACTCGATTGATCCTCAACATCCCTGGGGTGGGGGACAGGAAGAAGAGGCTTAAAACTGCCAATTTCCTATAGCACTGCGATGATTCACAAGTTTCTGATGCATGGGCCCTGACCACACGAGGCCTAGTGCAGGTGAAGGGACACCACATCTACACTTCCACACAAGGTGGGAGCTGGGGGTCAGCACTGACTGAAACCAACGGGAGTGACAGGAAGGAAAGAGATGACCCCAGGCCTATTTCCTGAAAAGGCAGCAAAGGGTCTCTTGGACCCCCAATGCCATTCGTGGAAGCACCCGCTAGCAAGGGTCCCATGTGAAGAAGTCACACCAGGAGCACCTCCTCTGGCTGGTTCCCACACTGACCACTAAGCTTAAAGGGTACTGAGAAGTCGCAACTGTCCTCATGCAGACTTTATGGCTTGAGGAACCCGGGCATGGCCCACGATGGAAATGCCAGTGGCTCAGTCTTGGTTCTTTCATTTCTCTCACGCACTTCAGGAATAGAGGCCAAGCTTTAGGTGGAGGAGGCTGGGGACTCAACACAGTGCTGAACACCAATGGCTCCTGCCTTCTGTGTGTGGAGCACAGGCTGAGGGCGGTGTGTGCTTCTGGTGCACTACTGGATTCACTCAACCAAAGCTGGGAGCTAAGGTAGGCTACTGGTTAGGGAACTGGCTCCCTGGTGATTTTTCAAAGCCGGAGAGTTATCCAGCTTTTAGATTTTGAGTTACATAATGCCTTTGTCTCTGGGTAAGACAGTAACCCTCCCAACCAGGTCAACATCCACTGAGGGCCTGGGGCTTCCTTGCCTGGGCATGGAGAGGCTGGTGACCCCATTCTCCAGACAATGCATCTTCATGGCCTCCAAGCTCTTCTGTACGTTTTCATAAGTGGGTTTGTGCGAAGCCCTTTTCTTTGTGATCTGAGTTCAAAGAAAGGGTGCAAACTCTCATTTAGTCCAAAACGATAGGCAGTGAAAAGTCAGGACATTCCCCCCCAATCTTAATCATTAAAATACATTTATGTGGATAGTAAGTCTACAGCAGGGATGGCAATGCTAAGTCCCTCCTTCCACCCTGTGGTCAGAAGCCTCGGGAAAACCTTCTCAATGGAGGGCCTGGGACACCCAGATGCTGCCACGTGACCCCCTTTCCTTTCCCTAAGCCCTCGTGGGAAGAGCAGACTGCCTCTTACCCGCCTTCTGTAATAAGGCAGACAAGCAGTCTCTGTGCTTTCCAAGACAAGCCATGGGGTAGAGGCAAACATGGCCTTTCTAACCACAATTCCTGATGTGACATACTTTTGGACTGTGTGGCCACAGTCTCATTTTGGAAAGCCTTCTCTACTAACAGAGAGGCGTAGGATGGGATGAAGACCTGACCTTAGTAAAGCATCCGAATCAGGTTGTTCTCCTTCATGACATCTGTAAGAACCCACCTTAGTAGTGGTTGGAAAACAAACCCCGCTCTTGGCTTTCTGAGGCTACACAATGCTGCTGCCACCCAGTTCTAGTCAACGTCACCTCATCTGGCAAACCCCGCCTCTCCCCCCTGCCTGGGCCTTGGTAGGAGCAAGAGGGCCTACTGTGCCTTTGGGACATTTTCAGCTTCTGGCTCTGCATCTGCATCTGGCTCACCACTGTCTGCCTTTGAATGTTGGACTGAAGAGCACCCACCACCATGTTGGACATTGCTTCAAACTTTCCTGAGATTCTGTGGGGGCATTGCCATGATGCATAAGACCCAGGGACACGAGAGAATGTACTTAAGGGAGGGGTGGGGGAAGAATGGAGTTCGAGTACATCTTGGAAGAGTTGGACATTAGGGACATTATTAATCTCCAACTCCTCAGGACGAGTTGGGTATTAATTCTTCAAATGAAATTATTACAAGCTACCTGAGCCATGTGAAAATTCTGTCAGAAAAGCCCCCATTTACTGAGAAATGGTGCTTGCTTTTAACTTCTGTCTAAAAAGCCAGGGAGAAATTGGCAGTGTCTCAAACATGCTACAAATATCAGAAGTCACCAGAGCCCACGTCAGCTTTGAGCACAATATACCAGAAAGGCAGAAGCTCTCCTCTCAGTTTTCTGTGCCCATCAGCTATGTGGTGGGCTGGGATGTTAGGTGACCAGCAGCATTGTCTAAGGGAGTCACAGCTCTTCTGGGGCCGAAAACTTTATGGACAACTGCAGAACCCACACTCAGGCTGAGGGCCCGAGAAGAGCTATCTATTACTTGGCACTGCATTTGATAGCAAATAACCCCTTTGGCCAATTTGTCTTTGCAGACATTACTGTTTTATCTCACTATAATGAAGCAACAACCCAGGTGTGGTTTGGCTTCAAGACCGGGGAGGCATCCCAAACTCCTGCACAAACCTGGAAGGCACACGACAGGCACAGGGCTACTTCCCACGGCGCGAGGCTTCAGACTCTCATTCCTTTCCAACACAGAGCTCCAGGGGCCACCCCCACTGCATCCGAGCTGGCCAGAAGAGGAAGCCTTTGACAGCCTGGCTTGGCTCGAATGGAGCATCATGACCACCAAGGCAGCACAGGGGCCCACCGGTTACCAGTACTTATGACCCAGCCCCGTCTTACCAAGTAATAGATGTACTGCCCATCTCGCTTTAGGACAGCCACTTCTCCAGTTTTCTTCTCTAAGAAAAAAAGAAAGGGAATTTATTAGGAGAAAGGGAAAAGGAAACCAAACTGCCAGGCTCCACGCTCAGGTGTTCTTCACCTTTCGGACCCAGAAATAACTCTCAAGCTCCGAGGAGCCGATCTCCTAGGAACACGGTGCCCTCACCAGCTGGCCTCCCCTTGGCGCCTTGACCTGCCATTTACCTGCAGGCGTTTGGCTCTGCCCCTAATCCCAAATACATTCTTTCCTCTCCATTTCATTCTGTTCCATACAAAAGAATTGTAAAAGGTTCTAATTAATCCGTTTTCAATGCAGAACAGGTGTCATATTAAAAAAAAACACAACACACCTAACATCACCAAGTACAAGTCAGTAAAAAATCCTTGTTGCCTGAGGCTGGGATGAGAATCCCTGGTGGAGACTAACTCCAGCAAGCCTGGAATGGGGTCTCAAGGACTGTCAGCCTCGTTTCAGCGTTCCTGGCACTATAGCACTGATAGGAAATTATAGGAAAGAAGGAGCTAAGGAAAAGGAATTTCTAAACTCCTCTTTGAAGACTACGTAGAGGCATGGTGAATGAATGCCCAGCCCACAGGGGTGGGCTTTACTAAGCACTTTCGTTTCTAACGGTCTCAGGGAGATAACAGTCAGTACACCAGACAGGTTCGGAACTTTCACCAGGCTCATGTTTGGTGCTATAAGGGCTGGAACTAGATGCAATTCTTGTGCAAGAAACACCTCGTCTGAATAGTTAAAACAGGGCTTCAAATGGGTTCTTCCCCATTCTGTTTTGACTACTGCAACACAAGACAGAATGAGCCTAAAGTTGTAAAATGTGGGTGTACCTTAACCCAAACCGGAAAAACTACAGGTCAACAACCTGCTAGAAATGCAATCTCCCTCCTAGAGAACATGGGCAGCAAGCTCGTTGCATAGCAACTAAACCTCTGAAACCAGTTGGAAAAGGTGGTGCCCCACAGATGGCAGATCATTGTTTTGAAGGCCTGTCACCCACCATAGTCCCAGAACTAATCTAATCTCCCACAACATGCTCCTAAAAAGGGCTCTTGCACCCCTCATCCAAGTCTCCTACACTAGGCATTATTCTGCTTCAACCAAATTTTTAAAATCCAGGTCTGCTCCAGTGGTGTAGAAAATGCACACATCACCAGTAGGAAGCCCGGAACTGCATACACATTGGTTAGTAGCCCTTATTACACTTGTATCTTGTGCAATAAGCATAGCGGGAGAACTCACGCTGACTTAGCAGTTCCTGCACCCCTCCAAATTTCTTCTTGAAGAGGACGGCTATCCCAGCGCCCATGCGACAGTCCTCACTGATGCAGTGGGCCAGAGAGTCTGTTTTCGGGCATGAAAAAAGGTCTCCTTTTACATATGTGATCTAAAATGTGTGAAAGAAAAGGGTTTTTATTAGGTACTGAAAAATACTAAGCTGCCTCTTTCAGTTTCCTTTACTGCAGGGTCCCCAGCACTACCACCCTTCTGGTCCCAGGAATCTAAGTTAATGTCTGAACTCTACAAAGTTAAGGAGTCACCTCTCAAAATACAAACTCCCTGCCATCCGGTCCATGCTGACTCATAGTGACCTCCTGGTGGGTTTCCAAGTCTGTAACTTGTTTACAGGAGTAGAAAGCCCAGGCTTCCTCCGAGGAGCAGCTGGTGGTTCTGAACTGCAGTCCATGCCTCAGCCCAACCACTATCCCACCAGGGCCCCAAGAAGTTAACTAGGGCAGATGAACACATGTAAATCAAAGTGATGGATGGTCCCTAACTAGGACTGTATTCTCCATTCTGAAGTAAAGC